AATGTTAACATTAGACCTTGGTGAAGTGTACTTGCATTCCTGTTTCTGTTGATTCCACTTACCTACAACTGAAGGTACTGTAGATCAGAGTCAAATGTGAGTTTCACACTGGTTTCTGTTATGGATGACTACACATTCAACAATGATGTTGATATTTCAAAGAACCATCTGTTACTGTGAGGCATCTTAATGTTCATATGCACATTCCAAATGCCCTCTAAACAAGCAACATTGTAATGGACTTCAATCTGAAGATTTGACAGATGGGTCAGCAGTCAAGCAGTCATTATGAGCATCACCTAAAAAAAGGCACACTTTACTTATCAGCTCAATGCATGGCATATATGAAAGAACGTGTTGAAAAGAATAAAGAAAATATAAAAACAGAGAAAAAGAAAGAAAAACAAATAGAAATAAACAAAAAATCCCTAAAAAGATAGAAAGTATAAATTTGCAAAACTTTAGAAAAATATTGAAGATTTAGAAAAACAAACAAATAAATAAATAAATAAAATTACAATTACAATTACCTGCCCACCGTTTGCTTTGCATTTTCCGGTTTTCACATTTCTCATAAAGCAGTGTGAGAATTTGGCTGTCATGACAGCTGTCTGGAAAAGGGGATCTTCTGTTTAAGATGCACTGGAGGGAGTTACACATGACCTGAATATTGTTAGATTGAAAGCTTTTTCTGTTCCAGAATTGCTCTTCTCAGTCTTATCAAGCAAGGTAAAAAGATGTGGGTGCAATCAATCATTCCTAGGCATTTAGGCATTCCTGTGAGATGGTAGAACCCAACTTTTACCTTCTAGAACTTTTCTTTGGTGAAGGGGAAATGCACATATTCTACAGACATGGAGTCGCTAGGCACTTCTTGGTCTGAAATGTGCTACCTCCGAAAAAACCACAATGCGGACAATAGCTTCAGTATAACAGTATGGCATAACTAAGGCAAACTCCTTGTTGTTTGCATCAGAAAACCTACCACACTACTAAACCTAACCCAAGATTTTTGAAAGAGATTGTATTGCCACAAAGGACAGTATAGATGCCTCCCAGAAAGAACAGAAACGATAGTGGGAATAAAAACACCAACATTTTTGTTTTAATGCTTTTTGGAATTTTTTACAGATTTTTTTTCAAGAAAGTGGAACTGGGTATCTTACATTTAAATCCCATTTCAAATTTCAATTTACAAAAGTCAACAAGGATTGAGATGTAATGTTGAACAAAATGTTTTTGTTGTGGATTTCATTGTGTCTTTGCAGCTTAGTTAAACCGTTTTTTTTACTAGCTATACAGGCTTTAAAATTAGTATTAAAAAATGTATCACACTTTAGCAAAAATATATTTCATCTAAAAGGCAGCAGTCACCACCAAAAAAAAAGAATTAATTTGAACCACTTGCGGTCTCTAGTCTACAACCGGCTGAGCTGCCACCTCATTGAGAATAACCTCGATCCCCTTCAGTCTGGATTTCACCCACAACAGTCCACAGAAACTGCTCTCCTAAAACTCACAAACAACTTGCTAACCACTAAAACTGATGGTCACTATTCCGTACTCATACTCTTGGACCTCTCCGCTACCTTTCACACATTTGACCACCCCATCCTCCTCAAAAAACTCTATTTACTTGGTCTTCGTGACTGTACTCTCTGTTGGTTCAAATCTTACCTATCTCACCGCACCTTCAGTGTCACTGACAACTCTACCTCCTCCTCTCCTACTCCTCTTAATGTTGGGGTCCCCCAAGGTTCTGTCCTTGGACCTCTCCTATTCTCAATCTACACCTCTTCCTTGGGTCAGCTGATAGCTTCCCATGGTTTCCAATACCATTTCTATGCTGATGACACACAAATCTATCTCTCTACTCCTCAGCTCACCCCATCATTTTCCTCACGTATCACTGACTTACTAACAGACACATCACACTGGATGTCACACCACTTCCTAAAACTCAATCTATCCAAAACTGAGCTCATAATATTTCCTCCCCCATGTGCCTCTTCCCCTGATTTCGTGGTCAGGATCAATAGCACCACTATCAACCCATCCCCTCATGCAGAGTGCTAGGGGTAACCCTGGATTCTGAATTATCCTTTCAGGCCCACATCCAATACCTGTCCATCCACCTCAACCTCCACAACATCTCCAGAATATGCCCCTTTTTAACCAATGATGCCACAAAGCTCCTAATTCACTCCCTGGTTATCGCTCGTCTCGACTACTGCAACTACCTCCTCACTGTCTTACATAGGCTATCCCCCCTCTAGTCCATCATGAATACTGCTGCCAGGCTCATCCACCTTACCAACAGTTCAGTGTCTGCAACCCCTCTCTGCCAACCCCTCCTTTTTCTTCCACTCGTCCAATGAATAAAATTCAAAATACTAACAGCAACTTACAAAGCCATCCACAACTCTGCCCCCAGCTACATCACTATCCTAGTCTCAAAATATCTACCAAACCACTCTCTTCGATCCTCCCAAGACCTTCTGCTCTCTAGTTCCCATGTCACCTCCTCCCATGCCCGCCTCCTGGAACTCCCTACCCCAATATATGTCCGGCTGTCTCCTAATCAATCCACCTTTAGACGTTCCCTGAAAATCATTCTCTTTAAAGAAGCCTATCCTGCTTCTAACTAGTAAACTTCCTTTTATTTCCTCCATCAGCTCATCCCCCCAACAGCTATTACCTTTTGTACCTCTCAAGCCTTCCTCCTAGATTGTAAGCTCTAACGAGCAGGGCCCACTGTTTCCTCTTGTACCAAATTGTATTGTAACTGTTATGTCTACCTTCATTTTGTAAAGAGCTGCGCAAACTGTTGGCGCTGTATAAATCCTGAATAATAATAATAATAATAATAAAAGCAGTAAAATAGATTATACAACAGTTCAGAAATAACCTTTTACTAATTACTAGCCCAGGACAAGGTTCAAAGTAGTAAAACCTGTATCATAATGTAAGCAAAAGTAATACTAGGCTTTGACCATGTTTTTGTCTGCATATTGTAATCTTCCCTATTTATTTAGGACTACATCCTTCCTAGAACTCAACTAGTTATAAAGACTATTAGAAAAGGCTGAAAGCACTGATCGATTCCTGAAAATTGTTAATTTGGACCGAGCATTGCTTTCTCTAAATATTACTCACTTTAGGGCAATGAGGAGTCATATGTTATTTTTAGTCCCATTGTTACTATTTATTTTAATAACTGTTGTATACTGAAAAACCTATCAGAAGTAGGGATGGGTACATTTCTCCCCCAAAGATTATTAAGAGCTATAGAAAAATGCCTCTCATTTTCATAACAAAAAATGATCAATTTTAGTAAATTTTTTAACTGATGAGAAACTGCCTTACATAAACTATTAAAGTGGACCACTGCTCTTCGTTGCTGCTGCCAGAACTAACTTACTAACTAATTAAATAATATGAAGAGGAACAGTCATGCAACAAGAAGCACATTTTCTATTGGGAAATTAAGTTAAATAGGAAAAGGATAACATGTATTTCCCAGGATTCCCTAGAAAATTTCAAATAAAACTATTAGTTTTCATAGTAGAATAGCAAGAGTTACAAAATATCCATGGTCAGTAAACCTGGCCATTAGGGTAAAATCCTGAGTTAGGCAAAATAATTAACTTATCTCTAATAGCAAACATGTATGCTAGTGCTATACTACATAGAAGGTTTTTAATTGCATAGTAGATTGAGGCACCTTTTTGTCAAATATTTCAGTTATCCCATAGGACAAAATCAATGTGTTTCAAAATGAGATGGCTGTCTTCAAGATATTGATCTCAAATGACTAAGTGATTAAAATCTCCAGTCAAGTATAAGCCTTATGCCACTAATCATTTCAATATGGAAAGCAGATGAAGAAAAACTGATGGGATGTCTTTCAATGAGATTAAAAAAAAAAAAGTTAGTTGTGTGGAGTCACATAAATACACACACCCACATAACACACAATTCTATGCAACATCTTACTAATTCACTGAATTTTTAGATATCTATTTGTAAGTGTTTTAATGGTTACGTAATCCTTATATGCTATGGCAATATACTACAATACCTTGCATTCTGGGCATCGCATGTTGATGTGCAATATGGCATCTTAAATGTTTGCAAAGCTGTATTGACTAGTGCTGTGTTTTTAATTTGCACAACATTGTATTAAACTTACATTGACACTGGAATCTGTGCAGGGGCGGACTGACCATTTGAGCACTCGAGCACTGCCCAAGGGCCCAAGGTCAGTAGGGGGCCCCATGAGATGCCCCTGGTACCTTTTTACAGGCTTTTTTGGGTGTGGGCAAGGACACGGGGGCCCCATGATCCCCTATTGCCCGGGGGCCCCATGAGTTGTCAGTCCGCCCCTGAATCTTTGTTAATGATTTAATGCTCATTGAATGATCTTTTTGGCTAAAGTATTTTTTTCAGGTAAGGTTGAGTTTTTCTAGGCAAGCATGCCAGAATATTAATCCACATTGCTATTGTTTTTCTCTGGACAAGAGTAACACCTGTGTACTCCCTCCTCATTGCTCAACAGGAAAAACATGTACAGTTGATTCAGACATCTCCATATAACACATCCCTCTTATTCCATCCATATCATACTATGATACTAATCCCATTACCATTTAAACCTGCCTAGTGGGCTAAAGTCTAAGATTAGTCATAATTACATTTGAAAAGGCTTAGTTCAACAAATCAAATAGCAAGACTTACCAAAGTTTTTAAAAAAGACTGAAATTTCACGTTTAATTCAGCGATGTGAACAAAAGCAGATGAAATTGAATGTATGGCCATGTGGTACGGAGGGACACAAAGGGAGGTAATGTCCCATCTACATAAAGGAGTTAGAAAAACCGGCTCATTTGTATTGGAAGAAATAGGAAAACTCTTAATATCTTGATGTCCAAAACATTACTAAAAAGCAAAAAACTATTATGGTTCATATCTCATGAATCACAGAGAAACGTTTCCCTTACGTTCTTGGAAAGATGTGAAGAGCATCTGGAAACGACTGGTACGACTGCCTTCGTCTGCCCACATGCGGATAACTCCAAGACCTGTACGCAGCATCACATCGTTAGCAACTGTGCTGCAGAATTTAGCTTTCAAATCTTCTACTGAACTGCTCCCATCATATACAGCTACAAAGTTCCTCTTACATTCGTTTGAATTTTGCATTTCATAGTCCAAAAATCTTAAGTATATCTGGAAATAAAATACATTTTGTGAGCGCATCATGGTTATTACACATTGATTGAGCATTCAGAGTTCAATCAGTAAGTACTTCAATTATCTGCTATTCAAAGCAAACCATTTATTAAACTGCACAATCCTTCCATTATTTATGAATAGTGGGTGTTTAATACTTGCAGGAGAAATGTTTCCCAAGAATGACTCCAAATGTCTTTCTTAGAATTAGTACAGATAAATGTTATGTCATTAAATATGCAGGCAACAAAGATTACCTTAAAATCACAGAATTACATTTACTTTTACATTTGAGCATTGTGACACTTATAGTGCTACATTGCCCGTGAGCAGTCAAATGTGAACTGTGCTCCTTTCTGGATAAAGAATGCTTGTAAAGTTAGGTTCTTATATATAATAAAATGGTACTCATGGGTCAGTGCAGTGAAGTATAGTACAGGGTAAAGTTGATCATGCCTTTACTAAATTTCATGCAGTCCGATTAATAAATGTTTGAAAATTGACACAGATTATAAAAGGGAACACTCAGAGTGAGCCTGCTGCAAAATTAAAAAACAGAGTTCCATCATAAAGAAAAATATTATACTTACCTGTCCCACCAGCCACACCGCCAATCTTTATTCAAGTGCAACAAAACACAGATAATTATTTTTATATACCATTCTTCCAGAAGTATCAGATATCTGGTCCCTGCTGAGTGCTGTGGTGCCTCCTGCTGACCCTTACATCACTATTTTGACCTGCAGTTATTTAATAGCCAGAAGGAGCAATCACACTGCTTAATAGGGTATCAGGACTCCAAGACACTTACAGGCCTGCCAAATTGGCCAGAAAGCCTGTGTTTCCGTCTGCATACAACAGTATGTTTTATTCTATAAATGAAACATGATCTATGAATAAAGAATGGGTGGATGATTGGAAAATTTAATCTTTTTAATCATATATCATGTTTCAATTACAGTATAGAAGCTGTAGTATGGTCTCTATGAACATTATTATTATTATTATACAGTATTTATATAGCACCGAAGGGTGTGCTCAGTGCTGTACATTAGCGAGGGGGACAGAACATGAGACAATACAGGACAATACAATACACGAGGGGTTCGAGGGCCCTGCTCTTTCGAGCTTACAATCTAGGATATAATATAGAATATAAGGGCTGGGTGGAACAGGTGGGTATATTTGGTCACTTGTAGCGAGACTGAGGAAAATAATAAAATCAAGAGGAGATGGAATAGGTAGGAAAGGGACGGTGGATGGACTGGTAAGTGGGAAACTGGGTTTTGCCCCATCCCCATCAAGGCCAGGATGAAGGAGATTCCCAGTCATTCTGAATTATTGAGAATGGTAGAATATTGTCCAAGCATCCCAACAGAACATACATTGTTTATTCATGTCTTATTCTATGGCAAGAAGGTATTTTAGGTTCATGATAGACTCTTATTACAATGTCCAATTTTGTAGGGGTTTGGGGAGAGCACCAATGGCAAGAAACAACTACTTTGGCAACTGTTAGAAAATGTTATAAGGCATCTCTTTTGATAGACTTTATGGAACCTATTAGTTTAGAGAGTGAGGTGATTTTAGAGAAGTTTGGAAACTGTAAATACTCAATATATCTTTCCAAAAATTGTTAATGAGGGGGAATTCCCACAAATAATTATTTTGATACTGCTGGAATGCACCATTAGAATATCTGTGAGGCAAGGTTATTCTTCATACCAGGCAGATGATGTTCCAATCAATGCTAGTATGTCTCCAGTGACTTCAAATGTAGCACCTACCCTCTGGTGCTACATTATAATGCAGTATACTACCAACAATGGTAAAAAAAAAGAAAAATGTTATTGAGAAAAATCAAACTTACCCATATTACTGAGTAAATTCATATAAAATCCACAAAACTATCTTGTTCTCCTTTACTAAATTTGACCATGGCTTCAGCTTGTTAGCCTTAATATTAAAGGCAATTAGAAAAAAATGAAACATATCTTACTTACTTGCTCTATGCAGTGGTGCAGCCCCAATCTTCTTCTCAGGTCCCACGCAGGTGTTCCTGGCCCCTCCCTCCTGCTTAGTGCCCCTAGAACAAGTAGCTTGATATGGGGGCACCCAAACAGGCTCACTCCCGAGTCCATTCACACACAGAGCTGTGGCTCTGCCCGCCCACTCTCTCTCCTTATTGGCTCACTGGATGTGATTGACAGCAGTGGGAGCCAATGGCTACTGTTAATAAATAATATAAAGTGCAGTGCTAAACCTAAAATCCCATATATAATAATGGATATATGAAAGTGCTAAAACTATGTGCAAAATATATATCTGTGCAATATACAATCCAATAATACACTCAAAATATTCAATATATTATAAATATATAAATATATAATAAAAAGTGTAAATAAATAATAAAGTGCAACACGTGTATTCCCTACCGGGAATATTAAAGTGTTCTAAGTGATAGCAATAAATAATAAAATCACTGCAAATATATTCAAAATGAATCCATATGAAACTAAGTGTCCAAACAAGTAAACAAAAAACTCTCAATCTTCATGTGATCCCAGGTGTCCACACTGTGTAAATCCAAACAGTGACTACAGTGGCCCCTCACCTCCTTGCATAGACCCCACAGGGTCAGCTTGCTTTAAGAAAAAACACACACCACTCTGATGAATCACCGGATCCTCCCCAGACTCATATATTCTCTCAGCAGCCTCCTCCTCGGTTCATATATAGATAGAAACTCACATAGTGTAAAACTGCATTTATTCCATATACTGCATAAATATTAAAAATGCCCACTCACATTTATTTCTCCAATTACAGGCTTCTATACCACATGCTATGAGTGTCCTGCATGGGTATTGTATATAGGGGTTTCACAATATGGCCGCCACGCCAGAAATGACGTCACCGCGCTCCCAGAATCCTCCTCGCGTACCGACGCGTTGCGTCACGATAGACACGGAAGGAAGTCACTTTTTATTATATATTTATATATTTTATAATATATTGAATATTTTGAGTGTATTATTGGATTGTATATTGGACAGATATATATTTTGCACATAGTTTTAGCACTTTCATATATCCATTATTATATATGGGATTTTAGGTTTAGCGCTGCACTTTATATTATTTATTGTTATTCACTCATTTTGGTAGGAGGTTTTGTGTCAGCGGCTTGTGGGATAGGGCCCCATTCCTAGCGCAGGAGGTTCATCCTTTCAATGGCTACTGTTGCTGTCTCAACCAATGAGGAGGGAGAATACCCAAGGGGGGGGCACCGAGAGGGCATCTGCATACAGAAGGTTTTTTCCCTTCATGCATATGTGAAGGTGAAAAACCTTGAGCCTTTACAACCACTTTAATGTGAGACAAGATTCTTCAAGAAATTATTTTGTTACTTGTGTTGGTAAGTTACTATGATATTTTCTTTCATTTGAGGACATTTGGAGCCTTTGCAGAGATACATAGAATGACTGGTACTGCATCAGTTTGGTAGGGTGGGGAAATGAGTCACCATAGACCATTCCGGCAGTAATATGAAAAGTGTAGCACAGTGGATTCATATTTAGGCTCCTATTCAACTTTTATCAAGCAGTCTGCTGTCAGATGGTGGGCTAAACGTATTTTAATGATACAGTATTATTTTATTAACTGAGTTAATGATACAGTATGATTTAATTAACTGGGTTATAACTGCAACATATTTTGCTATAATAATATATGATGACTTTTTATTTAACTATAAGTATATCTTTGCACACTGGACAATCCAAAGCAGGAGTTGGATGATCTTTCATGTGTATTATTTTTTAGTCTTAGGCAGGACATAGATGATTTTTTTTTCATTAAACCAGCAGTTAGATAAAATAATCTTGCCATGTAGACACTTTTAGTTAGACCAACGGAAATTCAGTACGAAGTTTAATTTTGTTTTTAATTGTTGGATTTCTTTAGGATTACTTTGTCAGTCAAGAAAGTGTCCATTTTTTTGAAAATTATTCTGAAGGAAAACATTATGCTTGTCCATAACAACCAGGTAACCAATGAAAATTTTCTACTGAAAGTTTTAAGAGTAAACAAAGGAAGAATTTATGAAGTGGAGCAGGTTTTGTTGATTTGTTAAAAATCACATATTTTCTGGTTGGGACCAGGGGCGGACTGACCATTTGGGAACTCGGGCACAGCCTGAGGGCCCGGGGTCAGTAGGGGGCCCCATGAGATGCCCCTGGTACCTTTCATAGGCTTTTTTGGGTGTGGTTTGAGTGTGGATGAGGACACAGGGGCCCCTTGATCCCCTATTGCCCAGGGGCCCCATGAGTTGTCAGTCTGCCCCTGGTTGGGTTTACTTATCAATGTGACCCATGGTGATAATATATATTAAAAAAAACTGACCTTAGACTTTGGTGGAGCTCGAATATACCATTTACAATCAACTGCTTCATTTGCAGAAGCCTTTCCTTCCTTGAGGATCTGCATGGATTCTATTATTCCTTCTGATCCTCCCATTTCAAATTCACAAACTAAATTGAATTCAAGCAAAAATATAATAAAACATGTTCTATTAAGAGAAGGGAGGAGGGGAGAGCAGAGAATAAAGAGGAGAAGGGATAGAAAGGGAAAGGAGAGGAGAGGAAATGCCATAATATGCCAACAAACAAATATCCTTGAAAAGCAAATTGTGTACTTACCAGGTAAAGGTTTAAGAACGCCAAGGTCTTTAAAATCTGGATCTAGTTAGAAAAAAATAAAACAACTTGAAATGTTATGAATATTTAACAGTTAACTTAACACTAGTCACATTTGTATAAAATGTTTTCTTTAAGCCCTAATTAATGATTTAATAAATAATTTGCATCCACTCCATAATATTTTGAGTCTAGTTAGAAAAAGAAATTGAACAATTTATATAACAATATTCACATTTGTATACAATACTGTTTACAAGTCCTAATTAATGAATTAACCAAAAGTTTGCTTGTACTTTACAACAGTAAAAAAACAAGAGTCATTTGCTATTTTTCTCCAGCTAGGTAGTTTTTAAAGCTATTGAGCAAAAATCTCTTTGATATGAATGGCCAACCTCATACGTCAAGATAGGCAACATCGAAAAACTAATACAGTTTTGGTAGATCAAAAAGAGGTCCACATAGAAAAAATGCTGCTCACCCTCAATAAACATACTAAGAAAAGTATATTCCCCCAAGGGCATTTAAGCAGCTAAAAATAAGTCACACAATAGATGTAAAAAAGTAATACTCTTTTACATTTATTGTCTGACTTAATTTTAGCTGCCTAAAAGCCCTGGGGGAATACACCTTTCTTTATAAGATTTTGGTAGAGCCACTTAGCAATACAAAATCCTAGTGCAGGAATGCTGTAACACATTAGTAAGTCAGGGAAGAAAACCTATTTTTGTGTTGTTTAGACATAGAAAATAGAATCTTTTGAATTTCACCTCCCTCTACCTACTCTACAGCATTGTTTTGACAGGCCAAATAGTACATTAATGACTTTCTGCCAACCTTATTAACAGTTGTTACCCAATGTCTTATATTTTTGTAGGAGTATTTGTGAGGACTATTGAATCCTCCTTCTCGTAAAAAGGACTGTTTTATTTCTGTGGACTAGTTGTGCATCATCTCTTATATCATTCACAGCTAAAACAGGATATGTGAAGATACTGAAATATCCACAATTTACAAGCGGTATTGGCAATGGTCTATACACTAAATATAGACTGATATACCTGATAAGACATGCAAAATGACACACTAGCAAAATGTAAATTTGTCTGCAACATGAATGGGTCATTTAAAGCAAAGTAATAAAACTAAAACAAAAAGTCATAATCAGCAAAAAAAAATTGTATGAAATTTCATATTATTATACTTTATTTTATTTGAACAAAATGACAGAGACAGCAAATGATAGAGTAGTAGTCTAGCAGAGTAGTAGTCATATATAAATAATATTGTTTTTATTTTTATTATTTATATATTACAGTAGTAGTAAAGCTACAGGAAAATTCACAATATAGATAAAAATACAGTAAAGAAACACAGAAATGTAGTAAATGCTGACTATATTTATATCACATATTGTATCACAAATGTAAAGCAAATCCCAGAAGCCATTGAAAATGGAAAGTATGGTTCTTCCAAAGCTCATTAGATATACATTTTAAAAAGTTATAATGTAAATGACCCTCTTTCCTTTTAAATGTGTTGTATACAAGTGTATGTGACCCTAGCCTAAGCAGCTGCATCCTTATCTACATTTAGTGGGGTTATATCTTGATTTTAACCAGTCTGAGCTGTTATTTACCTTATCTGGGCTTGGTAGGTCTTCACTAGGCCTGGTTGATTTTTTTTCCTTGTTGCTGGAAGGAGGTTCCAGTAAGCAATGCAGAAGGGTCAATTTCCTGTGTTATGTTTATTTTACCCTGTCAATCCCTGAGGAGCTGTGTTCAGAAGTATGGATTGGGGAGATGAAAATGTGTTTAGAAACATCTTTTTCAGAAATGGAGCTTCTCCCTGGGAAAATGTATGGGTAAAGGATAGCTGCTTGATTTTCGAAGTTTGACTATATCGCTAGGCAGATTATGTTGTACCATGATGCTTATCCTACATTGTTTGTCTCCCCTTGATTTTAGTTTTAAATGCCCATTGTGCTTGTTCATAACCTGAATGCTCGAAAATCTGAATCAGTAGGATTGTCACTGATGGTGAACAGATTCCACGCCTATACATTTCTCTGTGCCCGTCATAATAAGATATGACGTATAACTTATGGATTGGGCACCTCAACCAGCTTATAATAACCAGAGTTATTATGGCTCTGTGTGTATTCCAAATGTCTTTGTTCAAATTTGTTTATGAGTCTTACATGATGATCTGTCTTCTACATACAGTATATGTGACCGTGATGATACATAAATAAATAATTTGGAAAAAAATAGCTGTATCCATGGGTACATAACCTATAATATGCATAATAGGTAATATATATCCCATCATATTATGCATAAATGCTAGGGGGGAAACATGAACAGAGAGAGCTGTTGGAAATGAATAAAATGGGCCTATGCCTGCACTTTGCCACCGCAGTATAGATAACAACTCCTCCAGCTGACTTAATGTACCCCACACACACACTACTAACATACCATCAATGTGGTGCAGCCAGAGTGATGTGAAAATGAAAACCATACACCTGCTAATCTCACCAGCTGAGGCATAGACATACATGGGAAGAGATTAAAAAATGAAAAAATAAAGGACCCCCCCCTTGGGAGTAGTCTACTCATAATAATGAGTGATATCCTATGCATGGAGGATAGAGTTAATGATACAGCACTGGGGCTGAGCATTAAGTGAATATTTGCAACTTTATGGTCAAACAGCTATACACATTGTTCAGCATTTCATAAAGAGTTGATTAAAGCAAGAAACTAATTATTAAAACCTCTATGCCAAGCCTACATGCATATGCAACTTGCAATGTACATGATCTTTATTTGCTGTTATTGCTTCGGATAGATATACTTTGCAACTGCTATTGGTTAGAATAAAAGTTATAGCATTACTAGCTGAACAGTTAAAAGATAATTAAAATTCCATTGTTTAAAGATTTCTTTATGGATAGTTCAGCATCTTATGAGGAGCTGATATTTAACTGCTTAGGTCTCCATACCAAGCATGTGCAGCTTCTTACTATAGCTCCATTATTTGCTGATATAGTTGTTTCTCTCTTCAATGTGCATGTATTTCATTAACTGCTACAATTTGCGAATAAAAGTGTGCTTTTTTCCTTTGTTTTGCTTGCTTTATATATCTGCTACTATTGCTATTGCTACATTATTATATATTAAAGTGATTGTAAAGGTTTCTATTCTATTTTTTTAAAAATAACGAACATGTTATACTTACCTGCTCTGTGTAATGGTTTTGTACAGAGCATCCCCGACCCTCCTCTTCTGGGTTCCCCCGCTGGCGCTTCTGGTCCCTCTCCCCTGCCAAGTTCCCACCATAGCAAGCAGCTTGCTATGGGGCACTTTTACATGCTCGCTCCCGAGCCAGCTCCTTGTGTCCTCCTCACTGGCTGTGATTGACCAATGAGGAGGCAGAGAACCAAAAGAGCCTCTGCTCTCATGCACATAGCTGGATCGAGGTCAGGCTCAGGTAAGCATGGGGGGAGGGGCTGGCAGGGGAAGCCATTGGCTCTTGCTACTGTCAGTCAACTTCTGGGAGCAGAGAGTAGGTGGTGGGGCCAATGCGCGCTGTGTGTGTCTATGTATGTGCACAGCCTAGCTCACAAGTGAACCCACACTTGCCCCCCATAAGAAGCAGCTTCCTATGGTAGTGCACAGAAAACAGTAGTAGCCAAGAGCGCAAGAGGGACACACAAGTAGATGAGGTTCAGGGTGCTCTGTGCAATACTACTGCACACAGCAGATAAGTATATCAAACTTCTTATTTAAAAAAAATATTTTAGACTTTACAATGACTTTAGTCTCATACAAAGCACGACATAAGTGCTATTATTTTTCTAAAGAAGAATAAAACACCTTAATTGATTTTAAGTGCATGTTTACAGTTTTGGGCTACAGTAATACTAACTGATCTCACATGAATGGCACATACATGCAGGACATTTAGTTTATATGTAAACATGGTGACTTTCAATTGACCAATTATTTGCATTATAGAGACAGTTCTGTCTACAAACTTTCACTGTGACTAATATACATTTATTGAAACATTTATTTTGTGCAGACCCTGCTTGTTATTGTATGCAGTGTGTTTTTCTTCTTTTTTTTTTTTTGCTTTTGTTTGTGTCTGTGTAAAATTTGCATATATACAAAGTATAGCACAATTTTAGCAAATATATAGTTCTAAATTCTATTAATATAATTTTTCATATGTATAAGCAGTGTAATCTTTTGTAAGCCTTCTCAAAGTTTTGTTCCCATAATATAGTTTTAACTTTGGGTCTAGATTAGACACTGCAAGTTGTAAGTCAGTAAATGACTAGTTGACATTATCACAGAATTCTGTAGGTACATGTATGGGTTCCTATTAGTTATATTTTATCTTAACAGCTGTTTGGAGTTAGGCAGAATAATTGCACTAGCTAATCCACCCTGCCTGTAGTGACTAATATGCTAATTTCTACATATCAAAAAAAGAAGAAAGCTTATAAAAATGCATAAACCACATCTTACTTTTATTTTGGGCAAATATGACAATACCAACTGAAAGTACACAAACATATTAACATTTAAGGCATAACCAAAGAGTCAAGTATCTAGCTGCTCATCCCCAATACGAATACACATGAAGGACCCCCTATATGAGACTTTAATGCAGCAACCATAATACATATACTCATAAAGACTTCTTTCAAAAAAGATACATGCTTTATTCCATATACATACTTATAAGAGATACATAGTTTTAAGAAACATTGACTCTGACAATGCTACAAGGTACTTCCTTAACAGCATA